CAATTTTCGACGAGAAAATATGCGTTCTGAATTCACGATTTCTGTCCAAATAGAAAAGCTGTGACTGGTTTAGTGTTTGTATTTAGACAGGTTTTCTTCCGGTTAAATCGACTTGTTAAAGGGAAATCTAATATGCTGGGCTATTATCACGAAGACAAAGCAAAAAATGAATTTGCGCTAAAGAAACTCGCTTATACAGTCCCGTTTCTCATAAATCGAAGACATACTGGTATTTTGTTGTCTTTATTTTTAGCGACGACTCTGAGCTTCATGCATGACTGGTTACGCCACTTAATTTTGAGCCAATCATGAGTCCCGTTATATCAAAAATACATTACAGTAATTTATGCATTAGGTTCGACACATGAGGAGAACGCCGTATGAATCAGCTGCCGCTCCAACGTCGTATTGTGCGACAGACCCTGTCGAATTTAATGTTGTTTGCCGCACCAAACCTAACCTGCCGAACCAAACTGATCCAAACGCCGCTCTTTTGCTGTACTTAAGTCATCAGTTAGGTTCGGTGTCACAGTGATTTGGGTATCCCCGTGTTTTGGGTACCCCCGTGCCCAAATCCCTAGTGTTTTGGGTATCCCCAGTAGGGATACCCAGAACACTGAAAGCGTTAAATACCACAGACTGGGGCGAGTGAAATCATCCATAATTCTGCTCAAAAGCCATTTATATTCTTACGAAGCTTTCTCTCAATAAACAAAAGCTTTCTTAATCTTCATATAAACACATAACGTAGCTGAAAATAGTCGCAATTTATAACAGACTGTCTGATCCGAGTCCGCATTTATAAGGACATACAAAACCAGATTCACGCGCCAAAGTTCGCTGTATGAACTTGGGTATCCCCAGTGGGGATACCCAAATCACTAGGGATTTGGGTATGGGGCTGCATTCAAAGCTATTAATTTGCGCCAAACGCTCACGTAAATTTGTAAAAAGATGCTGTGAATATCCTTTGTTCAGAAGTGAATAACTCGTTGCGTGACTTTTCAATTGA